ACCCAGATATGCATACAGGTTGTGGATGTAAATGACAATGCTCCTGAATTTGAACACTCACTTTACAAGGTGCAGGTACCTGAGAATAGCCCCATTGGCTCCGTGGTTGCCACTGTATCAGCTAGAGATTTAGATACTGGAAGTTATGGAGAAGTAGTCTATGCATTTTTTTATGCCACTGAAAGAATTCTCAAAACATTCCAAATCAATCCAACATCAGGAAACCTTTATCTTAAAGATGAATTGGACTATGAGGCAGTGCAAACTTACACTTTAACTATTCAGGCCAAAGATGGTGGGGGACTTTCTGGAAAATGTACTGTAGTGGTTGACGTAACAGATAAAAATGATAACACACCAGAACTACTAATGTCTTCACTGACTAGTCCAATTGCAGAAAACTCCCCTGAGACCATTGTAGCCGTCTTTAGGATTAGAGACAGAGATTCAGGAAACAATGCAAAGATGGTATGCTCCATTCAAGATGACCTTCCCTTCGTTCTGAAGCAATCTGTGAAGAATTACTTCACACTGGAAACGGAGAGATCACTGGACCGAGAGAGCCAGGCAGAGTACAACATCACCATCACGGTGACAGACATGGGCACCCCCAGGCTGCAAACACAACACACCATCACAGTGCTGGTGTCCGACGTGAACGACAACGCCCCCGCCTTCAGTCAGCCCTCCTACACCCTGCTGGTGGGTGAGAACAACAGCCCCGCACTGCACATAGGCAGCGTGAGCGCCACTGACCCCGACGCAGGCAGCAACGCCCAGGTGACCTACTCGCTGCTGCCTTCCCAAGACCCACAGCTGCCGCTCGCCTCGCTGGTGTCCATCAACGCCGACAACGGGCAGCTGTTCGCGCTGCGCTCGCTGGACTTCGAGGCCGTGCGCACCTTCGAGTTCGGCGTGGGCGCGTGGGACCGCGGCTCGCCCGCGCTCAGCAGCCAGGCGCGGGTGCGCGTGCTGGTGCTGGACCGCAATGACAACGCGCCCTTCGTGCTGTACCCGCTGCAGAACGCGTCGGCGCCCTGCAGCGAGCTGGTGCCCAGGGCGGCAGAGGCGGGCTACCTGGTGACCAAGGTGGTGGCGGTGGACAGCGACTCGGGCCAGAACGCCTGGCTGTCTTTCCAGCTGCTCAGGGCCACGGAGCCCGGGCTCTTCAGCGTGTGGGCGCACAATGGCGAGGTGCGCACTGCGCGGCCGCTCAGCGAGCGCGACGCGCCCAAGCACAGGCTGCTGGTGCTGGTCAGGGACAATGGCGACCCGCCACTGTCGGCCAGCGTCACGCTGCACGTGCTGCTGGTGGACGGCTTCTCGCAGCCCTTCCTGCCGCTGCCCGACGCGCCGCCCGACGCGCCTCCCGATGACCGCCTCACCGTCTACCTGGTGGTGGCCTTGGCCTGCGTGTCGTCGCTCTTCCTCTTCTCCGTGCTGGCCTTCGTGGCCGTGCGCCTGTGCAGGCGGGCTGGCCCGCCCGCGGGGGCCCCCTACCCGCTGCCTGACGCGTACTTACCGGGACACCTGCTGGACGTCAGTGGTGCTGGGACCCTGTCGCACAGCTACCAGTATGAGGTGTGTCTGGCAGGGGGCGCTGGCACGAATGAGTTCAAGTTCCTCAAGCCCATTGTCCCTAATCTGCAGTCCCAGAACACAGGAAGGGAAGTGAAAGAATACCCTTCAATTGGGAATGATATGGGTTTCTGATAAAGAATGAGAAATAAATTTGTTGTTGTATCTGTAGATATTCCTGTTAAGAAAATTACCTTGAAGGCCTTTGCATGGACATTGCATGATTCCTGCAATGTTAGCTTGAAGTGATCCCTCAAAATGATTAGCAATAAATCTATTCTGAATTACTTGTAGTAAAAGTGTTTCATATTATTTTAAATATGTTTAAATCTATAGGACAAATAATGGAAAGAAAATAGGTAGTTTTAGTCCTAAAAGCCTTCCTTAAAGCCTGGAGTGCAAATGTCATTAAAATGTCATTAAAATTTTCTGGGAAAATTATACTCTGTGAGCTAGTACATGAAAATTCTTAAGTTGTGGTTTTTTTATTGCCTTCAATTTTTTTTGCTACTTTTGAGTTGAATTATAATGCTATATAACTACTGTCCTAAATTTTAGAAACACAGAATGTGACGTATCCTTTAAAACCTTATTCATCATCAACACTATTTTATAACTTACTCTTAGAAGTAAAGTGATTATTGGAGGCCACTTAGAAATTTACAGATAGGTGTCTCCAGATTTACGGATTTGGTGAATTTGCTAATGTCACTAACTAGTAAATGGTTGAGCTGAGCATTTCTACTGTATCTGTCTGACTGCTACTTACCTGGCATGCTACTCTGTTTATTACTGACATATCTATCTGTCACCTGGCAGATTTCTTGTAAATAATAAGTCTTATAAACCAATAATCTATTTTTATGGATCAAGTTTTCATCAATTAATATTAAATCTCTGATCTAACTAGAAAGGTCAATCAATTCTTTTTTACTTGTTGCCTTGATATTTGACTCTTTTATCACAGGGAGTTTAATGGCCCCAAATAGAAATTTTGCATAATTATTATAACTTCAATTATTATCTCCCTGAAGTAACTTCTTTAAAGTACTCTTATATGCTTTTATAATGCCTTTCTCTTTTAACTTTTTACACAAAAATATCTAGTTTTAGTCCCAAAAGCCTTCCTTAAAGCCTGGAATGCAAGTGTAATTTTATTTGGGAACAATTATACAGTGTGAGTCAGAACATGAAAATTGTTAAGTTGTGCTCCCAAACTTTTTTTGCTACTTTTGAGTTGAATTAAAATGCTATATAACCACTGTCCCACTGTTCTAAGTTTTAGAAACACAGAATATAACACTTCTTTCAAAAACTTCCTCACCACCAACACTATTTTATAACTTACTCTTAGAAGTAAACCAATTAGTGGAAGCCACTTAGAAATGAACAAATAAGTGTTTCAATATATTTCAGTATTGAACTTGAAAGTATAAGAGAACAAAAATATTTAAAGTTAAAGAGAAATAAATTATCATTGGAGATTCTGTAGAGTTGAGAATATTGGTTTGTTAAAATAATCTGTAACTGTGGCCTGAGAGATGGTACAGTGGGTAGGGCATTTGCCGACCACAAGGCCTACCATAAAAACCCAGTCCTCCAGAGCACCAAGAGGACAAATTCCAGGTGTGGCCCCATACAACCAAACAAATCTTTAACTCCTTTTTCTTTAACAATTTTCCAGAAAAGTTTTTCACTGTTGTTAGCAATAAGATAGTCTGGTAACTTTTTTGTTTATTTATTGCGGGCACACCAAGTGCTTAGGACTTATTCCACTCTTGGTGGTACTTGTGGACCATAGATGGTACTGGGGATGGAAATAAGGTTAACTGTGTGCAAGCCAAGAGCCTTAATCTCTGTATTATCTCTCATGCACAGTCCAGTAACTCTTATAATGGTTCTGGACATTAATAATGGGATATAATACATTCATCTAAGGACAAATAAAACCAAATCAAACCCCATGGGCTGGGAATATGGCTTAAAGGTCTGGAGATCATGCTTTGCACAAAGGAGCCCCAGATCAGATCCCCAGCTCTACATGGTCCTTGAGCAGTACCAGATGGCATAGCACTCTTCCAAAAAACACCAACAGCTATCAGAGCTTAATGGTTTCAGTAGTATCAAGATAAATTTATTCCCAATAATTAGCATGAAAAAAGGAGGACAGAACTTTGTACAATAAAATGAAGTTTGAGACTTACAAATGAAATGTAATGTGGATTTGTACAAATCTTGATTCAAATAGCCGCAAGAACTTTGAATTAAACAGACACTAGCTTTCACTAAATTAATTTACTAGGTATAATAATGGCAGTAGAATTGTTTTAAGCCATTAATACCTCAGGATCTATGACAAAGTAGTTGTGGGTTAAAATTTACATTACCTGATACATGAACATGTGGGAAAGATAAAAAAAACTATGCAAAATACTGATAACAAATGGAAATAGCATGAAAACCAAAGGCTCATCATCCTATTCTCCTTTACAGAGTTTGAAAATTTTTTAAATAAGAATAATTCTTATTTGATTCTGAGAAGTGGTGTTAAACAATTCGTACCTTCCAAGGTACGAATCATTCCTGCTTTCACCTCTATTAGACAAACTCTTCTGATTCTTTTTGTTTCAACCTATGACACAATATAATCCTAGAACACTGGGTACCCTTCTAGTCATATCAATGGACTTCTGCAAACTCAGCCACCTGAGTGACGTCAAATTACTTTGACATCAAATTTCTCACTATCTCTCTCTCTCTGTGGTTAATTTCCCTCTACCTTCTTTTCCTTATCTGAAACATGGAAAACTCACAGCACTCCTACTCTAGGTACCACTATTTTCTCCAATTTTCAGATGAGGAAATGGAGGTAGGTATTGAATAATATGTCCAAGCTTTATAGCTTGTCATTTTAAGATTTTATGACCATAAAATATATACTTCTGAAAGCTTTCTGTGGTATTCCAATTATGTAGGCATTTATATATTTCCCGCATATATTCTTTCTTTTCAGTCAGGCTGTTAGATAAATGTTTTCTTTTTGCTACAAACTCAAGTAACATTGTTGAAAGTAAAATTATCATCTCTCTTGTGTGGCCCTTCCACATTTCTCTTGGATTGACTACACCTTAAGGTTTGTGATAGTAAAGATAATACTAAAATTGTGCATAGCTCAGTGGTGTCTGAAATTGTGCATAGCTCAGTGGTGCCTGTAGTCAAGAATTAGGAAGTCTGCATCCCTTTTCATCCCAGAAAATGTGAGATTCTGTGAGAACGCATGGTGGCGCTGCAGGATAAGAAGGTACAATCCAGAATCACAGCTTTGAATCCATTAACGTGCAAAACTCCCCAATAAAGCTGAAAGCCCACGGGAGGCTTGGACATCACAGAAGGAAGTGTGGGTCCTCTGCGATGAAAGTATTCCCCGGAATATCCTGAAGAATTCTGTATAATAACTATCTCAGACGGAGGTCTTTCTGGTTCATCGGAACCTTTCTGGCTGAAGGTTACAGTCAGCAATAACAATGAAGGCCAGCAGGAAGCTCATCTGCAGACAAAGGCAAGTCCTTTTCTTCTTTCTCTTTTTTGGCTTATCTCTGGCAGGCACAGAACCTAGGCGCTATTCTGTGGTAGAGGAAACTGAGGGCCGTTCCTTTGTAACAAATTTAGCAAAGGATCTAGGTTTGGGGCAGAGGGAGCTCTCCAGGCGCAGGGCCAGAGTCATTTCCAAAGGGAATAAATTGCATTTACAGCTGGATCAGGAGAATGGGGATTTGGTGCTACACGAGAAACTGGACCGTGAAGAGTTGTGCAGTCACACAGAGCCCTGTGTGCTGCGTTTCCAAGTATTGCTAGAAAATCCTTTAGAGTTTTTTCAAGCTGAGCTACAAGTAATAGACATAAATGACCATGCACCAGAGTTTCTAGACAGAGACGTGTTGCTAAAAATATCAGAGAGCAGTCCTCCTGGAGCAACATTTCCTTTGAAGAGTGCCCGAGACATGGATGTGGGCCAAAATAATATTGAGAGCTATATAATAAGCCCCAATGCCTACTTTCGGGTTCTCACCCGACAACGCAGTGATGGTGGGAAATATCCTGAATTAGTGATGGACAAAGCACTAGATCGTGAGAAGGAACCTGAGCTCAGGTTAATGCTCACTGCTCAGGATGGTGGCTCTCCACCCAGGACTGGTACTGCTCAGGTCTACATAGAGGTCTTGGATATCAATGATAATGCCCCTGAATTTGAGCAGTCTTTGTACCAGGTGCAGATCCCTGAAGACACTCCCATTGGCTCTCTGATTGTTACTGTCTCTGCTACAGATATAGATTTAGGAATAAATGGTGAGGTTTCCTATTCAATTTTCCAGCCTTCAGAAGAGATTGGCAAAACCTTTGAAATTGACTCTATAACTGGTGAAATTCGACTGAAAAAACAACTTGATTTTGAGATAATTCAGTCCTATGAAGTCAATATTGAGGCTAAAGATGCTGGCAGCTTTTCTGGGAAATGCACTGTTGTCACACAAGTCATAGATGTGAATGACAATGTCCCAGAAATTGCAATGTCTGCAATTACCAGACAGATCCCTGAGAACTCTCCTGAGACAGTAGTGGCAGTTTTCAGTGTTTCAGATATTGATTCAGAAGAGAACGGAAAAATTAGTTGCTTCATTCAAGATGATCTACCCTTTTTACTGAAATCTTCCTTGGAAAACTTTTACACACTCCTAACAGAGAGACCCCTAGACAGAGAGAATCAGGCAGAGTACAACATCACCATCACGGTGACAGACATGGGCACCCCCAGGCTGCAAACACAGCACACCATCACAGTGCTGGTGTCCGACGTGAACGACAACGCCCCCGCCTTCAGCCAGCCCTCCTACACCCTGCTGGTGGGCGAGAACAACAGCCCTGCACTGCACATAGGCAGCGTGAGCGCTACTGACCCCGACGCAGGTAGCAATGCCCAGGTGACCTACTCGCTGCTGCCTTCCCAAGACCCACAGCTGCCGCTCGCCTCGCTGGTGTCCATCAACGCCGACAACGGGCAGCTGTTCGCGCTGCGCTCGCTGGACTTCGAGGCCGTGCGCACCTTCGAGTTCGGCGTGGGTGCGTGGGACCGCGGCTCGCCCGCGCTCAGCAGCCAGGCGCGGGTGCGTGTGCTGGTGCTGGACCGCAATGACAACGCGCCCTTCGTGCTGTACCCGCTGCAGAATGCGTCAGCGCCCAGCAGCGAGCTGGTGCCCAGGGCGGCAGAGGCGGGCTACCTGGTGACCAAGGTGGTGGCGGTGGACAGCGACTCGGGCCAGAACGCCTGGCTGTCGTTCCAGCTGCTCAAGGCCACGGAGCCCGGGCTCTTCAGCGTGTGGGCGCACAATGGCGAGGTGCGCACTGCGCGGCCGCTCAGCGAGCGCGACGCGCCCAAGCACAGGCTGCTGGTGCTGGTCAGGGACAATGGCGACCCGCCACTGTCGGCCAGCGTCACGCTGCACGTGCTGCTGGTGGACGGCTTCTCGCAGCCCTTCCTGCCGCTGCCCGACGCGCCGCCCGACGCGCCTCCCGATGACCGCCTCACCGTCTACCTGGTGGTGGCTTTGGCCTGCGTGTCGTCGCTCTTCCTCTTCTCCGTGCTGGCCTTCGTGACCGTGCGCCTGTGCCGGCGGGCTGGCCCGCCCGCGGGGGCCCCCTACCCGCTGCCCGACGCGCACTTCCCGGGACACCTGCTGGACGTCAGTGGTGCTGGGACCCTGTCGCACAGCTACCAGTATGAGGTGTGTCTGGCGGGGGGCGCTGGTACTAATGAGTTTCAGTTCCTCAAGCCCATTCTACCCAATTTCCAGGGTCATTCTCCTGGACCAGAAGTAGAAGAGAACCCTAACTTTCAGAGCGACTTCAATTTCAGTATTCAGTGACAATAGGTTTCTTTCTCCCATAAAGTTCCCATTTTGCTAGTTAACTTTAGGAAAGCCCTATGTGTTTCAACAAGTGGTAAGAAATCTGCAGTATACATTCAATTCTACATAAGTTGGAATAATGACTTAGTTTTCCAATAGAAATTAATCAGCCTACCTAGTGATGAACATCTCCACAATGTTCCTCTCCATAGCTTAGAAGCCACCTAAAATGTGTGTGCATTTATATAATTCTGCTTTTATATTAGGCCTTATGAATGATGTGAATGATGTGGTATATTGCATAGATTATGTTGGGAAAATCAAAAACCTTTTCATATATTTTAATGGTAACTTATTCTTTCTTTTGGCTGGAGAGATAGCACAGTGGGTAGGGCTTTTACCTTGCACACGGCCGATCTCGGTTCGATTCCCCCGTCCCTCTCGGAGAGTCGGCAAGCTACCGAGAGTATCCAGCCTGCACGGCAGAGCCTGGCAAGCTCCTCGTGACATATTCGATATGCCCAAAACAGTAACAATGTCTTACGTGGAGACATTACTGGTGCCCACTTGAGCAAATCGATAAACAACAGGAGGAGAGTGCTCCAGTGCTACTCTTTCTTTTATGTCATTTAGCTTAGGAAAGTTTCCATATGTCTATTTTGTTATGCAGAAGCAGAACTGTACATGATATTCATGTCCAAAATGTAAATACAAAATATAATACTGTTGCTAGATGGTTGATTGATGGTTATACTGACAACTATTGTATGCATATTTTATGTAATCTTTGTTTTGGATAATAGTATCTTTTTTATTGTTATAACAAGATGAATGTTCCTAAACCTTGCCTCTAAAAATGCTGAACTTAACAATTCTACTTGTTCTGGATCAGATTAGGTATCAGAGAAAATAGTTACAAATCAATTCTATGTAATCTATTGTATTTCCTTTTGGAAATTTTCTTTGGCTTTCAAACTGTTGTATATGTTCAAACAGTAATGCACCAACACTAGAGTTTAACTAAAGAGAGAAGAAGGCATCCAGTGAAAATGTTTAGCTCTTGCTCTAGTGTTCTCATAGTAATTATCTTTGATGTTTTCTCTTATATCTTACATTGATTATACTTCCTTTCTTTAATGTTACAATGTTAATTTTATCATAATTTTCATATTGCTTTTCATTAAATTGGTTTTAAAAGGGGGAAATATCTACACCATGTTTATCCAGTGAGGGGAATTAGCTTAGTTGTAATATTGGCTTTTTCCTTTGAGAAATATTGAATAAGTTTAGGGGCTTGAGCAATAGTACAGCAGGTAGGGTGCTTGCCTTGCATGCAGCCAACCTAGGTTTCATTCCTGGAACCCCACATTGTCTCCTTAGCCCTCCCTATAGTGGTTCTTGAATGTAGGTCCAGAAGTAAGCCTTACGCTCTGCTGGGGGTGGTCCCCAAATAAAGAAAAAATAGTAAATTCAGTGGTTATTCCATTTACATTGTTATTTTCTTCTTAGTAACTAAACCTAAATTTCATTTATAATATCATAAATATTATAAATGACACAAAACAGACAATATTTTTCTACATTCTCTGACAGCTAGTATAAAGCATAAAATTAATTCATAATCAATAAATTGTACATGCAAATGTTGAAGGAAAAGTCCAATTAAATTGTAAGGAAAAGAATTCATCTGAAAAACATCTAAAGGATTCATCTAGGAAGTCGTCCCCTTTCCACCTTTTTCTGTTACCTTATGCTTGGAATATTTCAGCCACAACTTAGAAAACTATTAATATTGTACAGAAAACAAGAATGGTGGAACAACTGATCACAGCACAGAATAAACTTAAAGAGATTGAGGTTCCCTGATAATCACAAAGTAATTATGTCATCCCTGGATTTTTTTACTTGAGAAATAATAAAACTTCTATTTCACTTATGCTATCATCATTTTTCCTCCTAACTCATTGGTATCCAATCCTAATTTTTTTCTTTTTGGGTCATACCCGGCAATGCACAGGGGTTACTCCTGGCTATGCACTCAGGAATTACCCCTGGCAATGCTCAGGGGACCATATAGGATGCTGGGAATGGAGCTCGGGTTGGCTGCAAGCGAGGCAAATGCCCTACCCGCTGTGCTATTGCTCCAGCCCCCCAATCCTAATATTTTACAACAATATTTTCAGTCTATGTAATACAGTAAAATGCACAGATATTATAGCCTCATCTAACATTTGACATTTGTATCTTGATTTTAAATTTAGGAGAATATGCTATATGGTATTGTATTAACCATATATTTTTTAATGTTTATTAGTGAGACACCATGAGATACAGTTGTAGGCTTACAAATTTTCGTGCTTAGGTTTTAATTATACAATGATCAAATACCCATCCCCCCACCAGTGCCCATTTCCCACCATATTTTTAATCCTCATCCCAATCTTAAGAAAGTTGGTATATATCTTCTCTTTACATATGAGTAAACAGAAGCTTGGGAAGTTTAACTAGGGCTGAAGAGATAGTACAGTGGGTGGGGCACTTGTCTTGTATGCAGCCAATCTGAGTTAAATACCCACCAGCCCATAAAGTACCCAGAGACTGGTCAGGAGAGATCTCTGAGTGGAGGGCCAGAAATAAGCTCTGAGTATCACTAGGTGTGGCCTGAAAACTAAAAAGAGAAGAAAGGAAGAAAGAAAGAAAGAAAGAAAGAAAGAAAGAAAGAAAGAAAGTTTAATCTGCTCATAATTTAATTCTAAGAAATAAAGAAAAAGTGAAATATATCTTCAGTCAGCTTGAATTTGCCATTGCAGTTCTTAACCCATATATGACAGTGCTGCTACCACTGCATGTCTAGTGGTGCATGGATGCACACTGTGTTTGCTTGATGGACCATATAGCACAAGGAATTGAACCAGAGTCAGTCACATGCAAGGCATGTGCCTTAACGCTGTGCTCTCTTTGACCAACTAGCATGTTTTTTTAACTAAGATAGTGTGATCCATCTATTCCATGAATTGAAAAAAAACTCCTCTGTACAAATGTAAGTTTTAGTCAACAGTTTATATAGCTTATGTTGTTTCTGTACTAATGTCCACCCTGCTCTAGACAAAATAAACACAACAGTATCACAGAAATGCACCATGGTTCTGGAATGTAGGTCCAGGAGTAGGCTGGGTGTGGCTCCCCAAACAAAGCAAAAAATATTAAATTCAGTGGTTAATCATTATAATCAGGTGGGGAAGGTTTGGTTTGGAGGAGTCTGGGGAATATTTTTTTCTTTTTGGGTCACACCTGGTGATCCTCAGGGGTTGCTCCTGGCTTTGCACTCAGGAATCACTCCTGGCAGTGCTCAGGGGACCATATGGGATGCTAAGAATCAAACCCGGGTTCACCGCATGCAAGGCAAATGCCCTACCCACTGTACTATTGCTCCAGCACCAGGTTTGGGAATTTTGGGGTCACACCCGGGTGCTCTGCATCTGGAGATGCTTGGAAATGAGAGGGGATGCCAGAGATTGAAGCCGAGTGGGTCAAGTGCAAGGCAAATGCCCTACTCGCTGTACTATCTCTCTAGCCCCCTGATATCTGCACCTTTTCAATGTAACATATTCATGACTGCATAAATATCCCAAACATATTACAGAATTAATCTATTTCTTGAATTTTCTTGAGTGTAATATACTATTTCTTTTTGTACTGTTTATTGTCATTCCTAATATATACATATATATTTTTTTTTCATTTTTCTTTTCTTAGTTGGAAATTCTTTTATGTCTTCATAAATACTTTGTTAAAGAATCAAGTACATCATATTCATTTGGGCATATCATTCAATTAAAGAAAATAACCAATTTTAGAGAATTACAGGCAGTATCATACATTTCTGTACTAATGTCCATCCTGCTGTAGACAAAATAAACACAACATTATCACAGAAATGCACCATGGTTCTGGAATGTAGATCCAGGAGTAGGCACTTGATGGGATAAGCGCAAAAGATCAAGTACAACATCATTGGTCTGACCGAGATGAGAAGGCATCAATCACATCATGCCATTTTCGACACTGGAGAAGAACTGTTCTTTGGAACATGCAACAAAAGAGGCGTCGGTGGTGTTGGTGTCCTTGTCAACATGAACTTAGCCATGAGCATTGATTCATTTGAATGCTTAACAACCCGAATCGGACGATTACACTTGAATAGATGTGGCTCACTAACAGCAGTTTCTATCTTCGTTGTCTACGCGCCAACATCCAATTATGGTGAAAGAGAAATTGAGAAGTTCTACATGGAGCTGGAGAAGTTCTATAAAGAAGACCACACCTTCTACAAGATCATTGTCGGTAATTTTAATGCCAAGATATGACTGAGAAGATCAGCCGAAGAACTCCACATTGGGACCCATGGCCTAGAATGGAATGAACAGGGTGACAGACTGTCTGAGTTTATCATGTCGACCAAGACCATCCATGGTAACTCACAGTTCCAGAAGGCCGAATCTAAACTTTAGACATGGGAGTCTCCCGGCGTACAGTTCCACAATGAAATTGACCACATCATATTCAATCGACGGTTTTTCCTGACTGATGTTGCTGTTATCCCAAAATTCCAAACGGGATCGGACCACCATCTTTTTCGAGAAAAATTCTACTTCACGCTAGCATGCAACAGGGATGAATGGATACGTTACTGGCGCCTGCTCGAGCAAATCGATGAGTAACCGGATATCAAATGATCAAGTGATCATAGGTAATTTTACACCCAAGTACTAGAGAGATTCTGGAAATTTAGTAGAAAAAAATGATAGGATCTATTTATTTTCTGTTAAAATTAAAACTATGTCTTAAGTAAGTTAATTCCTAGGCTTACCAAAAACCTAACATTTCAAAATTATCTGCTGTAATACTATTCCTAGTATTGCAGAACAATTATTTCTTTTTACTCACAGTTGCTGTGTGCATCATAATTCACGTGTGGGTTTTGTGTTAGTTTTCTACTGATGCTATGAAATATTTCCATAAATGCAATTGCTTAAAATAATAAAAATATTTTAACTGATGGCTCTTTAGGTTAGATGCCTGGCATGTATCTAATGGATTAAAATGAAGTTGTTAGCAGGGATGCATTTCTTACTGGTAGCCCTAAAGAAGAAAAACATTTTTGTTTTTTCAAGTTTTTAGATACTTCCTACATTATTTGACTCATGGTTCATTCTACTTTAATGCATTACATCCTCCCTTGCCACAAGACAGTTCTATGTGAATTCACAAAATCCATAAACAGAGAACTCCGTATTTTACATTACAAATACAGTTTGGACAACCTATTTAAACCAGAATGTGTGATGCAGTCAGAACCACAAGGTGGTGCTGCAGGTTAGAGAATGGAAATCAGCTGCTTTTCCAGCTCCAGTACCAGCCCATTTTCGCATTGACTGGAAGCTTACAAAAAGCTTGCTCAGCAAAGGCAAAAGTGAGTGTTAAACCTCTTTAAAACGCTGTCTAGAGGCATAGCTGTCCTCTTCTAGGTGGCAGGATCTGGGCTACAAGGATCCTGGGCATACCTGAAAGAACAATGGAGATTGGATGGGTGCTCAATGGGAGACAAAGGCAAGTCCTTGCTTTCTTTGTTTTGCTCGGCATGTTGGGGGTGGACTCTGAGTTAGGATCTTATTCAGTAGTGGAAGAAATGGAGAGAGGTTTTTTCGTGGCAAATCTAGGAAAAGATCTGGAGTTGGGGTTGACAGAGATGTCCACTCGTGGAGCTCGAATCATTTCTCAGGGGTACAAAGAGCATTTGCAATTCAATGTTCAGACTGGGGATTTGCTCATAAATGAGAAACTGGATCGAGAGGAGCTTTGTGGTTCAACAGAGCCTTGCATAATACATTTCCAGATATTGATGGAAAAACCGTTACAGATATTTCAAGCTGAATTGAGGGTGACAGACATAAATGACCATTCTCCCTTGTTCAGTGAAAGAGAAATGATTCTAAAAATACCGGAAAACAGTCCTCTAGAAATTGCATTTCCTCTGAGTACCGCTGTTGACTTGGACGTAGGAAGCAACAATATTCAGAAATATGAAATCAGCCCCAACTCCCATTTTCGGGTGCAGACCCAAAATCGCAGTGATGGCAGAAAATACCCTGAGCTGGTGTTGGAAAAAGAACTGGACAGAGAGGATGAGCCTGAAATTATATTAACCCTGAAGGCACTGGATGGTGGCACTCCACCTCTCTCTGGGACATCCAAAGTGCTCATTGAAGTAGTAGATGTCAATGACAATGCCCCAGAGTTTGAGCAGCAACTCTACAATGTGCATATTTCAGAGAACAGACCCATAGGATCCCTGGTTATCACAGTGTCTGCCAGTGATTTAGACAGTGGGGTCAATGGACAGATCTCATACACATTCTTTCAACCTTCAGAAGACATTAGCAAAACCTTGGAGATAAATTCTCTGACAGGTGAAATTCAACTGAGAAAACAATTAGATTTTGAAGCAGTTCAGTCATATGAAGTTGATATCAAGGCCACTGATGGAGGAGGTCTTTCTGGGAAATGCACTCTTCTCCTGAGGGTGGTAGATGTGAATGATAACCCCCCAGAAGTGACCATGTCTGCATTCACAAGCCCCATCCCAGAGAACTCACCAGAAACTGTAGTTGCTGTTTTCAGTGTTTCTGACCCAGATTCTGGGGACAATGGAAGGATGGTTTGCTCCATCCCTGAAGAACTACCCTTTCTCTTGAAACCAACATTCAAGAATTTTTACACACTAGTCACAGAGAGACCCCTGGACCGAGAGAGCCAAGCGGAGTACAACATCACCATCACAGTAATAGACATGGGCACCCCCAGGCTGCAAACACAGCACACCATCACAGTGCTGGTGTCCGACGTGAACGACAACGCCCCCGCCTTCAGCCAGCCCTCCTACACCCTGCTGGTAGGCGAGAACAACAGCCCCGCACTGCACATAGGCAGCGTGAGCGCCACTGACCCCGATGCGGGCAGCAACGCCCAGGTGACCTACTCGCTGCTGCCTTCCCAAGACCCACAGCTGCCGCTCGCCTCTCTGGTGTCCATCAACGCCGACAACGGGCAGCTGTTCGCGCTGCGCTCGCTGGACTTCGAGGCCGTGCGCACCTTCGAGTTCGGCGTAGGCGCGAGGGACCGCGGCTCGCCCGCGCTCAGCAGCCAGGCGCGGGTGCGCGTGCTGGTACTGGACCGCAATGACAATGCGCCCTTCGTGCTGTACCCGCTGCAGAACGCGTCGGCGCCCGGCAGCGAACTGGTGCCCAGGGCGGCAGAGGCGGGCTACCTGGTGACCAAGGTGGTGGCGGTGGACAGCGACTCGGGCCAGAACGCCTGGCTGTCGTTCCAGCTGCTCAAGGCCACGGAGCCCGGGCTCTTCAGCGTGTGGGCGCACAATGGCGAGGTGCGCACTGCGCGGCCGCTCAGCGAGCGCGACGCGCCCAAGCACAGGCTGCTGGTGCTGGTCAAGGACAATGGCGAGCCACCGCTGTCGGCCAGCGTCACGCTGCACGTGCTGCTGGTGGATGGCTTCTCGCAGCCCTTCCTGCCGCTGCCCGACGCGCCACCCAACGCGCCTCCGGATGACCGCCTCACAGTCTATCTGGTGGTGGCTTTGGCCTGCGTGTCATCGCTCTTCCTCTTCTCGGTGCTGGCCTTCGTGACCGTGCGCCTGTGCAGGCGGGCTGGCCCGCCCGCTGGGGGCCCCTACCCGCTGCCCGACGCTCACTTCCCAGGACACCTGCTGGACGTCAGTGGTGCTGGGACCCTGTCGCACAGCTACCAGTATGAGGTGTGTCTGGCAGGGGGCGCTGGCACGAATGAGTTCAAGTTCCTCAAGCCTATCTTGCCAGATTTCCAGGATCATGCTACTGGGACCAATAGTGAAGAAAACCCCACTTTCCGCAGTAGCTTTGGATTTAATTAGTATCAGAAACATCTCTCTAAAGGTATTTACTTCCTTTATATATTCTTGCTCATTAAGTGCTAGATACTGTTTACACCTAGTACCACCAATATAATCTCTTTTTGGTTTATTCGCCATTTCCCATTTTATGCTTAACTCCACAGCTCTTTCCTTCTACATTAGTACAGTAAGACATTTACTAGCAATCTAATGAGTGAATTGTTAATAAACATAAAAATAAATATGTTCCTTTTGAATATTTTTAAAGAATTTATTATTAAAATAACTGCTGAATGTGATCTGTATACTTACAAATTTAGCCTCTTTTGTTTTACTTTCAAAATTGTTATTGTTGGATGCCAACTTGGTTTTCATTACAACTTCCTTGAACTATGTTCCTTGTCTGAAATGTTCTATTTTCTAAGGCTGGGGATGTGGCTCAGTGGTAGATCTCAAGACTGGTATGTTGTGGTCCTTGGTTCAAGCCTCCATATTACCAAAATACAAGTTCTAATTTCCAATTTTAGCATATTTAATATATGACATAGCACTATAGCACTGCCCTCCTATTGTTCATCGATTTGCTCAAGCAGGCACCAGTAATGTCTCCATTGTGAGACTTGTTGTTACTGTTTTTGGCATATTGAATACGTCACAACTATCTTGCCAGGCTCTGCCGTGGGGGTGGGATACTCTCGGTAGCTTGCCAGGCTCTCCTAGAGGGGCGGAGGAATCGAATCCAGGTTGGTTGCATGCAAAGCAAACACCCTACCTGCTGTGCTAATCGCTCCAGCCCATATATATATGACATAAATGTCTAAATTGAAAATAAGAACTCATTGTGAAAAGATACTCACAGGGACAAAAACAAACTTTCAGAATTCTATAGCATCATGAAGATTTTATGGGGGTAGAATTTGGTTTTGATTTTTGGGTCATACCAGCATGACTCAGGGACTTCTGACTCTGTAAACAGGGATCACTCCTGGCAGTGTGACCATAGGTGATGCCTTAGATCAAAGCAAGTCTGCTACATGCAAGACAAGTGTCTTTTTTTTCTTTTTGGGTCACACCCAGTGATTTTCAGGAGTTACTCCTGGCTTCGCACTCAGGAATTACTCTTGGTGGTGCTTGGGGGACCATATGTGATGCCGGGGATTGAACTCATGTCACCTGCATGCAAGGCAAACACCATACCTGCTTTACTAAAGGCAAGTGTCTTGAACCATACGTGGCCCTAGAAATATTTAACAATCTGTTTTAAATATAAATTTAAAAATCAGAGGTCTGTATTAGGTTTCTAATGTCTAACAATTAAGTCCCATTAGCTGGAAAAAGAGAAGTCATTAAGCCAGCTTATATGCTTTGTCTTTAATATTTAACAATGTTCGAATTTTCTAGCCCTTTCCACATAAAGTATCCCTTAGCTTAACTACTATACTTTGCTTTTAATAGGAAGAATATTTGATTATTGTATTGTGCTCACTTTAAAATTTTTACTTTATTTAAATGCCATGGTTTACAAAGTGATTCATAATACCGTTGCTCTTATAATATAGTTGTTATGGGCATTCAGTGTTCCAACACCAATCCCATCACCAGAGGGACCTTCCCTCCACTATTGTCTCCATTTTCCAGGCCATCTTAGCAGACACAAAATAAATTATTTTAAATCATTTGTTACAACTAAATGGCTAATGAAATTATCAAAATATATTTGAGTAAAATAAATTTTGTGAAAATTGTTGTATCTCATCATGGTGTCATTAAGTCCTTAGATGCTTTGCTTATTAGAGAAAAAAAACATTTCTTATTTATATAGGAAAACATTTCTAGATATCAGATCTCTAGATAAAATTATATATGAGGAAGATGTTTTAATGCTGTTTCAATGATGTTAGGCTAGATGTTAGTGATATTTCTTCTTTACCTGATTTATAATGCAGATAAAGTAGATCACACAAGAATTAAAGAGGAAGTTAAATAAATTTTAGTCACTTTAATTCTGAAAGTATTTTTAAAGCTAATGTTAGATAAAAAGATATGTGAATAAAAGGAAGCAGAAATTACATAGAATAAAGGAAAGAACACAATTTTCTAAAAAGTACAAAGGCCTAGAATACAATTTCATGTGCTATTCACTACAGTTTATTTATGTCTTAGTATTACAAGCCCTTTATGTCATACTTACTGACCATAGAAGACTAAAACTTAGCTTCCAATCTAAAGTAGCCCACATTAAAAGAAGGGCAGAGTAGAACAAAAGATAAAGCAACAATATTTGCAGGTTGATCACATATATTCTAATAGGAGCAGAGAGGAGATTCAGCTTAAAAGCTCCTTCTGTAATACACAGTGATAATCCTATTTAGACAATGTAATTTGAATTTGAACAAACTTGCTGAAAATGATGTGAATCAAGGTTCTTTAGTCAGTTTTTTAATGTTCCTGTGCCCAATGTTTCCAAAAAGGTAAAATCTATTATTCTGTAGTTCCAGACCTTACCATGATTTGTTTTCGTTGCTGATAATATTTGAGAGTGTTGTCAGAGTAAAAGCTTTTGTAAAGAAGTAAATCTAGCACAATGAGATGGAAAGAGTTAAGTGTTAAAAACTTTTTTTTTCTTTTTGGGTAACACCAGGCGATGCACAGGGGTTACTCATGGATCTGCACTCAGGAATTATTCCTGGCAGTGCTCAGGGGACCATATGGGATGCTGGAAATCGAACCCGGGTCTGCCGCGTGTAAGGCAAACACCCTACCTGCTGTGCTATCACTCCAAACCCCTAAAAACTTATTTTTATATGGCTGGAGTGGTAGTGTATAGCAATTAAGGCTGCTGCCTTGCATGTAGCCAACCCATATTTGATCCCTGGCACACCATATGCCCCCCACCCACCGAGACCTCCAGGAGTTATGCGTAAGCATAAGTCAGAAGTCCTGAAAACCACTGGGTGTTCAAAAAAACTTTTTTCCAGCTATTGACATATTAACTTTCCCCATAAAGCAGTGGAAAATTTCAGGTAAGTTAATGGTCTCTGTTTATGCATACTTTACAAAATAAATGAAAGAAAAGGAAATATTTAAATGAACCACTAAAGAGCAAATTTATACATATGGACAGGCATGGATAAATTTGATAATTAAGTGAGTCTGCTAGATGCCACGAGGTGGCGCTGCAGACTTAAGAGATAGTGGAATAATTCAACTGGCAATGCCACAGAAGTCACAGACAAAAAAGGGGAAGATCTCGGCAGGTAGGATGGCAAAAAAGCTGTAGTGACCCAAGATTGAACAAAGAAAAACAGATCAGACCCCTATTACTGCATGGAGGAGATCTGGGTTTTGTGATCGCTGTTCTTTTGTGCTGGGAGCTGTGATTGTGATCAATTCTGATATATGACAAGATCAGGAGAAGCTATGGAGGCTGGAGGTTTGCACTGCAACAGACAAAGGCAAGTCCTGTTTTTCTTTCTTCTCGGGGGACTATCTTTGGCAAGTTCTGAGTTTGGACGATATTCAGTGACAGAGGAAAGAGTGAAGGGATCACTTGTGACCAATATCGCAAAAGATCTGGGTTTAGAGGTGCAGGAGCTGATTGCGAGGGGAGCCAGGGTGGTTTTGGATGATAATAAACAACATTTGCTCTTGGATGCTCACACTGGGGATTTGCTGACAAATGAGAAACTGGACCGGGAGAAGCTTTGTGGCCAAAATGAGCCCTGCATACTATATTTCCAGATTTTATTAGATAACCCCTTTCAGATTTACCGGGCTGAGCTAAGGATCTGGGACATAAATGATCATTCGCCAGTGTTTCAGGACAAACAGATGGTTTTAAAAATATCAGAAAATACAGCTGAAGGGACAGCATTTAGACTGGAAAGAGCACAGGATTCAGATGGAGGACTTAATGGGATCCAGAACTATACCATCACCCCCAACTCCTTTTTCCATGTTGAAATTAATAATAATGATGAAGGACTTATATATCCAGAGCTAGTACTGGACAGGACACTTGATCGGGAGACACAACAGGATGTCATTTTAACACTCACAGCAATGGATGGAGGGTCTCCACCCAGGTCTGGGATGACAATTATATACATTGTAATTGTGGATGTCAATGACAATGCGCCAGAGTTTTCTCAGGCAATCTATGAGACCCAAGTTCTGGAGAATAGCCCAGTAGGGTCCATCATTGCTAAAGTTTCTGCAAGAGATAGTGATTCTGGAATTTATGGAAACATATCTTTTTCATTTTTTGAAGCTTATGAAGATATTAGAAAAACTTTTCAAATCAATCCTTTTTCTGGGGAAATTATGCTTAAAGTGTTGCTGGACTATGAGCTAATAAAGTCTTATAAAATAAATATACAAGCAATGGATGGTGGGGGGCTTTCTGCAAGGTGTACAGTTTTGGTAAAGGTATTGGACACCAATGACAACCCCCCTGAACTCATCATGTCATCAATAGTCAACTATGTGCCTGAGAATTCCCCTGATACTCAAATAGCTGTTTTTAAGATTAAAGATAGAGACTCTGGAGAAAATGGAAAGATGATGTGCAACATTCAAGATAATCTGCCTTTCCTCCTAAAACCGTCTGTGGAGAATTTTTATATATTAATGACAAATGGAGAACTAGACAGAGAGAGCCAGGCAGAGTACAACATCACCATCACGGTGACAGATATGGGCACCCCCAGGCTGCAAACACAGCACACCATCACAGTGCTGGTGTCCGACGTGAACGACAACGCCCCCGCCTTCAGCCAGCCCTCCTACACCCTGCTGGTAGGCGAGAACAACAGCCCTGCACTGTACATAGGCAGCGTGAGCGCCACTGACCCCGACGCAGGCAGCAACGCCCAGGTGACCTACTCGCTGCTTCCTTCCCAAGACCCACAGCTGCCGCTCTCCTCGCTGGTGTCCATCAACGCCGACAACGGGCAGCTGTTCGCGCTGCGCTCGCTGGACTTCGAGGCCGTGCGCACCTTCGAGTTCGGCGTGGGCGCGTGGGACCGCGGCTCGCCCGCGCTCAGCAGCCAGGCGCGGGTGCGCGTGCTGGTGCTGGACCGCAATGACAATGCGCCCTTCGTGCTGTACCCGCTGCAGAACGCGTCGGCGCTCTGCAGCGAACTGGTGCCCAGGGCGGCAGAGGCGGGCTACCTGGTGACCAAGGTGGTGGCGGTGGACAGCGACTCGGGCCAGAACGCCTGGCTGTCGTTCCAGCTGCTCAAGGCCACGGAGCCCGGGCTCTTCAGCGTGTGGGCGCACAATGGCGAGGTGCGCACTGCGCGGCCGCTCAGCGAACGCGACGCGCCCAAGCACAGGCTGCTGGTGCTGGTCAGGGACAATGGCGAGCCGCCACTGTCGGCCAGCGTCACGCTGCACGTGCTGCTGGTGGACGGCTTCTCGCAGCCCTTCCTGCCACTGCCCGACGCGCCGCCCGACGCGCCTCCCGATGACCGCCTCACCGTCTACCTGGTGGTGGCCTTGGCCTGCGTGTCCTCGCTCTTCCTCTTCTCCGTACTGGCCTTCGTGGCGGTGCGCCTGTGCAGACGGGCCGGCCCGCCCGCTGGGGGCCCCTACCCGCTGCCTGACGCGCACTTCCCAGGACACCTGCTGGACGTCAGTGGCGCTGGGACCCTTTCGCACAGCTACCAGTATGAGGTGTGTCTGGCAGGGGGCGCTGGCACGAATGAGTTCAAATTCCTCAAGCCTATCTTGCCAGATTTTCAGGATCACGCTGCTGGAACCAATAGTGAAGAAAACCCCACCTTCCGCAATAGCTTTGGGTTTAATTTTTCGTAAAGTTTTTTTTTTATGTTTACACGCATTTTTGAATTATTACACTATTGTGATTTTAGTTTAGTTTGATGCTTCAAAGTTATTGTTCAGTTTTGTTAAGCCAAATTTCAAGTTCCATTTTTGCGATGTTATATTTTTATTTATACTTTGTATTAATTTATGCTTAACTTCAATTGTAGTGCCATTTTAAAATGATACTAGTAAGGCTTAATACTTTCAAAATGTACTGCATTTAATCTCCTAGCTACCGGAAACCTCCATCATATATGAGAGATGCACCTGTACTTTCATTCTTATTTAGTCTCTTTTCATGCTGTGAAAACTTATCTAGTATTTAAAAAGAAATATTTGTTATTCTGCTGAAGATAAGATGAAACAGGTCATTTTTTAGTTTCACTGAACTCCAGTAATCTTATACTCATATTGTTTTGTCTTCTTTAAATATGCTACCAATGACCAGTTAATATTTTATATTTTTTAACCACAGCCTATCCTTAGTCTATCTCCATATTTGTACTAAATTCAAATACAATTTAATAAAATGAATGAGAACATAAAAATACGTGAAATTTTGTGTGAGTTTAGTTATTGTTAGAATCAGTGTTTTATTTAATAAATTTATTTTGTAATTTTATTGTGGGTTGTCACAGCCAGTGACATGCAGGGTTTACTCTTGTTTCATGCTTAGGGATCGCTTGTGGTTGTCTTCTGTGGACCATATGCAGTGGTAGGGATTGAACCAGGGACTCTCACATGTAAAGCAAGTGCCTAAACCCCTGTATTATCTTCCTAGCCCATAAATTAATTTTATTTTAAAATTTAAAAATCAGGTTGAACAAAAAATCATACAAAACAGTCTCCATTTCCACTTCTTCAGTGCTTTTTTTTAAAGAATGTATCTCAATATTTCTAAGTAATATATTTTGACTGCTATATCTTAATATTCTGTTTCATTCTTCAGTTTTTCTATAATATAAAAGGAGTCAACTTTCTTACTTTATACCAATCAAATTTATACATTGCACATTACCTTTTCCCAGTATACTCATTTAGGTGGTGTTCATAAAAACTACTGGGCTAGAATAATTTTTCAAAGATTGGAAAGCATACTTTGTATGAGGAAACCCTGAGTTCAATCCTTAGCATCACATGGTCTCCTAAGTTCCCCTCCCAACCATTCCCCATCAAACTGTTCAGAGTAATCTACAGTGCTCACATTACTTCAAAATATACATTGGTGTAATATATTTTCCTTTTCTAAAAACACTTAGAATTGCTGTATTTTACTTTCTATTTACTGGTATTGTTTCTATTACCGTATTTGAATTAACAAGCTTCCTTCTTAAAGGTGAAGTGCTGTCAGATAACTATTATATTTATTTCCTAAAGCTCTTTGCTGTCAAACTAATTTTTCCCATTAATACATACCTACATTGGTTTGTTTTACAAGATTCATTATGTTCTTCTCTATTTCCTTATTTAGCTTATAGAGTTTCTCAATGCTTTCATTAAAATGCAGAAAGGGGGCAGAGCAATAGTACAGCAGGTTAGGGCATACACAGCATTGTATGTGGTCTCACAAGCATCACCATGAGTGATTCCTGAGTGCAGAGCCAAGAATAAACCCTGAGAAACACTAGGTATGGCAAAAAAACCCCAAAACCCAAAACAAAAACATAACAATGATGTAGAGAAGACGAAATTCTTTGAGATTTTTGTTGTTTGTTTAAATACATTGTTTTCTTCCCATTTTATTAATAGTTTGGGTATAAAATTCTAGATTGAAAGCTTTTTCTCAGGTTCTTGAAAGCAAAGTTTTTTAACATTTGCTTATATAGTTATTGTTTAGAAAATTCCTTAGATTTTTATTCCTATGCTTTACTGTGACTTTCTTTCTGGAAGTAATAGAGACTTTCAATTATTTTAAAAATTAGTTAAGGGGTGGATATAGTACAGCAGACTTGATAGTACACTTGCAAAGAGCTGATTTGGGTTGATTCCTTGCACCCCATGTAGCCCCCAAACCCACCAGAAGTGATCTCTGAGCACAGAGTCAGGAGTAAAGCACCACCGGGTGTGGTCCCAAGCCCCCCACAAAAATTGTTTAGCATTGGCATTTTGTGTATTTGTGTAGTCCTGTTGGTGTGTCTTGTTAGTGTTTAGATTTTAACTATCAATTTTGACAAATTATCTTGTTGTACATTCATCATCATTTTTTCTTTGGGTCATCTATACTCATTTTTACAAAATTGTGAACTGTATATTGCAGTGGTAGGTGATTACCTCTAACTCTGTTCTGAGGGCTGCTTCTGGCAGTGCTTGGAGGACCATTAAGGCATATGATTTAATCCCCGTACTATCTCTCTGGTCTTATTTATAATCTTAATTATAACCTCATTAATTATAAATTGAATCCCTGGTGTGAGATTTCTCAAACTTTTTTGTTTGCTTTTTGGATCACCCCCAGTGGTTCTCAGGTCTTACTCCTGTTCTATGCTCATTGATCACTCCTGGCAGGGTTTGGAGGTTCATAATTGTGCCAGGCATCAAACCTGGGTCAGGTGTGTACAAGTCAATTAAGTCAAAATCTCTACCTGCTGTGATAATGCTCTCAGTTGTTTTTATTAGCTCTGTGTCTCTTGTTTTAGCATTTTGCAACTTATTTTAAGACAAGTTTTGACTGATATTTACAAGGTGTCTTTTTTGGTCTGTGTTTTTCATCTCATCTTATTATATGCTTATAAAAATTATATCTTTGCTCATTGATAATTTATTAAATTAATTATGCAAAACAGAATGCAGTATAAACTACTATGTGACCATTCAAAATGAGAGTCCAGAGAAGATTTTTTTCAGGATTATATAGCTAGTAAGGGGTACTTAATCCCTTTTTTATCACAACAAAAATAAATACTCTTTAAGTTGCTATTTAGGTTGAGTGGGTAAATGTATATATAACACTTACAACAATTAGCACCATATAAATTCTTAACAATTTGTTATTTGATTTTATTACTCTTGGAATATTAGACTTTTAAAAGAATTTCTCCCATTTTCTCCATTATGTATTTTTATCCTGTTCATTTTTGCTCATTTTAAATTTATATCATGTGGTAGTAATTTCCTCAAAGCATGTGGTCCTTAGATACCTTATATATGACAGTGATGAGATATAAGTGCTCACACTCATTTATGAATATCAATGAGGCCTATAATGACACTTTGGTGTAATAATTCTAGCATATGATTATTTCCTTAAGAGACTCCCCAAATAACAATATTGTAAACTTTTTGTAATTGTAATGTTTTTCATTTTTTTGTTTTGAGGTCACACTTGACTGTGCTTAATTCTTACTTCTGGCTCTGCACTCAGGGATAACTCCTGATGGGTTCAGGGAACCATAAGGGATGCCAGATATCTTAACACTGGTGAGCTGTATGCTAGGTGAGCACCTTTACTGCAGCACTATGTCTCTGGTCTGTGACATTTTTAATATCTAGGTTAAAGTTCTATTGTATTTTCTGAGTAGGGGGAATTAGGTATGGGACCAGACATATACCTGGTGACCCACAATCAAAGAATATTTCATGATAAGGAATTAGAAATTATATGGTTTAGTATACAATTTTTTGCTCAATGCCTCTTATTTCCAGTTTTACACTTCACATTTGAACTCAGCTTTGCCTAGGGTTTCCAAAATTAGATAGTTCCATTTATTCTCTAACCCTACGTAAATTTCTGATATATTCTCTATGAAGTGAGAATAAGAGAAAACAGCTCTCATATACATATTTTTGACATAGAATCCTTTACATGCTTAATTGACTTTAGTAGTTGATTTCTCAAAATCCTGTACTGAAATGAGATTATATGGGACAACATCCTAGTTTCTCATAAATATCTCAAATTTAGGAACTGTTAACTTGCCTGCTCATGCATTTGCTTTCTGGCAAGAAATATAGGTGTTCACTTGTATATTCTAAATATACAAGTTGTGAAGTTCGAATAATGTTTTTTTTTATAATTTTATTGGGTTTTTAAAAGGATGGAGAATAACTGTAATCAATCAACCTTTTCAATTTCAATTCAGTTTCACTTGGATTATTTTTTAATTTCTACTGACTTCTCAATCATCCCTCTATTCTACCTTTTTTAAGGAATGTGAAATAAACTTACATTTTAAAATGTAAACTTGTGGGGCTGGAGAGATAGTACAGTGAGTAAGGCATTTTCCTAGTGTGTGACTGACCCAGGTTTAATCACTACGATCACATCTTAATTGACTTTTATTTTCGTAGTTGATCTCTTAAAATCCCCTAAGTCCCACCAGGAGTGATCTCTGAGTTGAGTGCCAAGAGTAAGCCCTGTTTCTCTGGGTATGGCAAAAAATAAAAAATAAACTTGTTGGGAACATAGTACAGCAATTAGAATGCATGTATTTCATATACCTAACCCAAGTTTGATCCCTGGCACCATATGGTCTTTAAAGTATAACAGGATGTAGTATAGCCCCAGAGGCCCCTAGCTTTATTCGGATGATCCTGGTGCCAATGAGCACCACATTCTTGGGACCTGGCATTGAACTGCTGGCCTGGTTGGTCAAGTATCTCTAGCAGTAGCCCCCAGGCACCCTGAACACTGCTTGAGAACTGTTAACTTGGCTTAACCCTCCCCCCCCAAAAAAAAGATATAAATTTGTTAGATACCTCCTCCATTCACTATTTTTTGTGGGTGAAGGCCAAATCCATCTGAGCTCAGTGCATACTAGTGGCTCTGTGCACAGGAGCACTATTTGTGAGTCTCAAGAGATCATATGGGGTGCTGAAAATCAAAATCAGGTCAGCTCTCCATATAAACCAAGCACCTTACTCACTCTATCTTTCTGGTCCTCTATTCATTCTTGAAACATTATCACTGTATCAGTGTCATCCTGTTGATTGTCAAATTACTTGAGCAGGCGCCAGTAACATCTCTATTCCTCCCAGCTCTGAGATTTTAGTAGCCTCGTCTTTTCCCAACAATTGGAGGCTCTTTCAGGGTCAGAGGAATGAGCCCTGTTGCTGTTACTGTATTTGGCATATCGAATATGCCTCGGGGAGCTTGCCAGTCTCTGCCCATGAGAGCAGGATACTCTCAGTAGCTTGCTGGGCTCTCTGAGAGGCATATATTTACATATTTTTTCCTCTATGATTTGTTGCCTATGGTCTGAACCCCGTTAAATATGGTGTAGTAATTGTGGACAATGGGTAGGAAGTGTCTTATAATGTGTTGCGCAGCTACAAAGCAGCCTGGAGTGTGGCAGTGGTTGGGTAGTGGAGGTCGGCTGCCAGGGCTAGGTCCTTTGGGTGGGGAGGGCTTTCAACTGCCCCACAGCCTCCCAAAACTTTTTATATCTCATATATTGAACATAATTGGTGGTCTCCATACATTGATTCTAATCCCCTCATTATGAAGCAACCTTGTATCTAGGTAGAACTAAAACCACCCAAGATTAATAGGTATCCACAGACAGAATAAAAATAAAGCAAAGATCAAAGATAGGTTTTCATTCTCTGAAACTGAAATTTTAACCCATAACTCTAGACCTCTTGAAATAATGATGATTTCAGTTACAGTTTTATGACTTTATAGTTCTCATTAAGGTAAACTAAGTTTTTGTTTTATTATTAGGAAAGAGAATCTCACACTTTTTTCTTCCTATCCTGAAACAGAAAGTGTGTAACCATAGTTATAGCTGGAGTATGTATTGGGAACCGGAAGGAAGCCAGATTTAGGAATAACTCTACTTTAAATGAAACTAACATGCTCATATTAAATTTCTGTAAGTTGGGATGAAATAAAGTAGATGAAATAAAGTGAGACTGTGTCTCATAAAATTTATACTTCATTTTCTCCCAGTTCACATTTCATTGATATCAAGAAAACCTACAGAAATACTTTCTGACACTATAAGAGTTATCTATGTTCTGTCTCTTGCTTAATTCATTTTCACATCCTTTGAGGACTTCTAAAACAGATCATATATACCTTCTATTTTCCCAAACACCTAAATATAGCCAAATAGCTATGTAATTTTGTTCAGTTTACCAATAAGACTCTCTTTCCAAATTTCATTCCAACTTTCAATCTTCTCAAAATATTGTAAGCTCCTGTGGGCAAGGAATCACAACTTATATTGAAATTGGGGAGAGATACATAGAATGCCTGAAAGCAAATACTAACAGACAAACTTAGAGAGTACTTAGAGAGTATAAGGTAATTTTATGGAAGATGGGATATATTTCTAAATATTTAAACACAAACTTAACATTTGTTTTCGGAGGACACTTATGTGAATAGAATACAAAGATGACTTTTATCGAAGTCTGAAAATCTGGGGAAACGCATGGTGGCGCTGCAGGATAATATCTTGGGGGAAATACTGTGCTTGGATAACATCCTAGAAGTTGCCCAGTTACATACAGAACATTGGGAAACGAACAAACCATGATGGAGCAAATTAAGGCTAAAAAGAAGACATAAATATCAGATTCTCGTGAGAAATCAGAGGAATATTTCTTAGAACTGTGAAACTGAGCTGAATTTACTCTGCAGAAAGCCTTTGGGAAAGCAGCTATGGAAATCAGAGGGAGAGACACTCTACGGATAAGGCAAGTCCTGTTTCTCTTTGTTTCACTGGGAATGTCTCATGCAGATGCCAAGTCTGGGCATTTTTCTGTGGCAGAAGAAATGCAGGGTGGGAGCTACGTAGGCAATTTAGCAAAAGATCTAGGACTAGAAGTGAGTGAGCTGTTCTTAAGGGAAACTCAGGTAGTCTCCAGTGACAACAAACAGTGTTTGAAGCTGGACCTAACCTCAGGGAATTTGCTTTTAAGTGAAACATTAGACCGGGAAGAACTCTGTGGCTTAACAGAGCTGTGTGTGCTGCATTTTCAGGTGTTAATGAAAAATCCCTTGCAGCTTTTACGGATTGAGCTCCAGGTCATGGATATAAATGACCACTCTCCTGAATTCTTAGAAAAGGAAATGCTCCTTGAAATCCCAGAGAATAGTGCTGTTGGTTCTGTGTTCTTACTAGAGAGTGCAGTGGATTTAGATGTGGGAGTCAATGCACTGAAAAACTACACAATAAGCCCTAACTCTCATTTCCATATAAAAATGAGAATACATCCAGATCATAAGAAATACCCAGAATTAGTTTTGGACAAAGCACTGGATTATGAAATGCAATCTGAACTCAATTTCATCCTTACTGCTCTGGATGGTGGGTCTCCTCCCAGGTCTGGGACTGCCAGAGTTCGGGTGTTGGTTGTGGACATTAATGACAATACCCCTGAGTTTGAGCAGCAGTTTTACGAGGTGGATATTCCAGAGAACAGTCTGTTAGGATCACTAGTAGTCACTGTGTCAGCTTGGGATATGGACTCGGGGAAAAACGGAGAAATATCATATGCTTTTTCCCATGCATTAGAAGACATTCGCAAGACATTTGATATTAATCCAAAATCTGGAGAAGTTCGTTTAAGGGCATCCTTGGATTTTGAAACAATAAAATCATACTCAATAATTATTCAAGCCACAGATGGAGGAGGGCTTTTTGGAAAATCAACAATCAGAATTCAGGTGACAGATGTGAATGACAATGCTCCTAAAATCTCAGTATCATCAATTACCAGTCCAATCCCAGAAAATTCACCTGAGTCTGTCGTTATGGTTTTTAACATCCATGACAGAGATTCTGGAGAAAATGGAAAGATGATTTGTGCAATTACAGAAAACCTACCCTTCAAACTAAAACCTTCACTCGAAAATTACTACACATTGGAAACAGAAAACCCACTGGACCGAGAGATCCAGGCAGAGTACAACATCACCATAACGGTGACAGACATGGGCACCCCCAGGCTGCAAACACAACACACCATCACAGTGCTGGTGTCCGACGTGAACGACAACGCCCCCGCCTTCAGCCAGCCCTCCTACACCCTGCTGGTGGGCGAGAACAATAGCCCCGCACTGTACATAGGCAGCGTGAGCGCCACTGACCCCGACGCAGGCAGCAACGCCCAGGTGACCTACTCGCTGTTGCCTTCCCAAGACCCACAGCTGCCGCTCGCCTCGCTGGTGTCCATCAACGCCGACAACGGGCAGCTGTTCGCGCTGCGCTCGCTGGACTTCGAGGCCGTGCGCACCTTCGAGTTCGGCGTGGGCGCGTGGGACCGCGGCTCGCCCGCGCTCAGCAGCCAGGCGCGGGTGCGCGTGCTGGTGCTGGACCGCAATGACAACGCGCCCTTCGTGCTGTACCCGCTGCAGAACGCGTCGGCGCCCAGCAGCGAGCTGGTGCCCAGGGCGGCAGAGGCGGGCTACCTGGTGACCAAGGTGGTGGCGGTGGACAGCGACTCGGGCCAGAACGCCTGGCTGTCGTTCCAGCTGCTCAAGGCCACGGAGCCCGGGCTCTTCAGCGTGTGGGCGCACAATGGCGAGGTGCGCACTGCGCGGCCGCTCAGCGAGCGCGACGCGCCCAAGCACAGGCTACTGGTGCTGGTCAGGGACAATGGCGAGCCGCCACTGTCGGCCAGCGTCACGCTGCACGTGCTGCTGGTGGATGGCTTCTCGCAGCCCTTCCTGCCGCTGCCCGACACGCCGCCCGACGCGCCGCGGGATGAACGCCTCACAGTGTACCTGGTGGTGGCTTTGACCTGCGTGTCATCGCTCTTCCTCTTCTCCGTCCTGGCCTTCGTGGCGGTGCGCCTGTGCCGGCGGGCCGGCCCGCACACGGGGGGGCCCTACCCGCTGCCCGACGCTCACTTCCCAGGACACCTGCTGGACGTCAGTGGCACTGGGACCCTGTCGCACAGCTATCAGTATGAGGTGTGTCTGGCAGGGGGCGCTGGCACTAATGAGTTCAAGTTTCTCAAGCCCATTCTCCCCACCTTCCCGCTCCAGGGCACTGGCGAAGCAGTAGAGTAAACTCCTTCATTTCACAATAGCTTTGGATTCAGTGATCATAATTAACTCAGAAATCTCCTGTGTGCTTTGTTGATGTCACCTCCATGTTATTTTCCCAGTTCTGGTTAATTTTTTTCTGCTTATGGCCACACCAGATGGTGGCCCCTACTCCGGGCTCTGGTAACACCAGGCACTGGCTAGGGATCATGTGACACCAGGGAGAACAATAGCCTCCTGCATGAAGCCTGGGCTTAGCATGTTGAGCTCTCTCTGGCCCCAACAGGTCATGTCACTTTAGCCATAGTAAATTCTGCAGCACAGAAACTTTCTTAGCTTGATGGAGTTCCAGTTACAATTGATTTTCTTTTGCCAGTGGAGTCCAATCATTAAAGATACTTCGAAATTAATATGGAGTGGTCTGCCTATGCTTCTTTTGTGTATTTTGTGGATTCAGGTATAAAATAAAGGTATTTCATTCATTCCGTGTTAACTTTTATGTATTTGATTAGTGGTCTAATTTTTTGTTTATCGCATGTGGCTAATAATTTTTTTCCCACAAAACCATTGTTATACTTTCTTTTCTGCACATTATGCTCTTGAATCCTTTGTCATTAACTGCTTAAACTGATCTGCTTTACAAATCCTCTTGACTATTTGGGGGTGTGAGTACGGTTTCTTACATATTTTAGTAGGGTTTGTTCTATGTCCTTCAAGAATGACATTGGAATTTTGATAGTATTGAATTTGTTAATGCTTCAGGTAGAAAGATCATTTAGTGATGTTGATTTTTCTAATCCAGGAGTATGAAATATGTTTTATATTCTTTTGTCTTTTATTTCTTGCAGTAGTGACATTATTTTTAAATGATTATCTTTCACCACCTTTGTTGATTCATAGGTATTTGAATTTTTGATGCAATTGTAAATGTGATTGTTTTTGTCATCACTTACATATAGTAATGTAATGTAATCTTTTGTGTATTGATTTTGTACCTAGAAATTATACTATATATGATTGTTTTATTTATTTTTTACCCTGATGCTGGGGAATGAATATAGGGCCTCACACATGCAAGACAAATTGCTCCACTTCTCCACCCTTGGCTGTGAATTGTACACTTTAAATGGGAAAATCCTAGGGTAAATTATATCTCAGTAGTACTGCTAAAAATGAAAGTGGAAGTGATTCTATCATCAGTCCAAGTAAACTGGGCCTTCCCTTGTCTGTAATAGGGCATGGGGAAGAGCTATTCAAACAATTCAGGCAAAAAATCTAATAGACCCAACATAAGAGATACAGATCAAGAACATGTCACTTGCTTCAAGATTTTCCAGATATATAAATGTGTCTTGTCTATTTCTGGAGAGAGTTATGTTTCCTGACTCTAATAGAGAGTGGTCAGACCATTAGTTCAGATGCCCAGAAACAAGTAACCAACAAGTTCTTCTAAAATGTATTTCTAGAAACAAATTTTACTCATGCTTCAAATACTTGGTTTAAATTTAAATCCCTCAGATGGGGATTCTACTAATTCCCTAGCCCAAAATATGTATCTTTGATAATATATGTAGTTATATCTTTCCTTTTCTACTGAGTCCCATTTCACCTAAATCTAACTCCTTATGTTGTCGAATCTGAACTTTTAGGGATTCATATTATATACTCAATTCTGTATCTTAATTTTCTTCTTTTTTACTGAGTAATACAAACTAGTATGTATAACACTTTCACTGGGGCTCAAAATATCATTGAGTCTAAGTTTTTCAGCTTTTAATATATTTCTTTATATTAGTCAAATTTCTTGACTTTTCCTTCCTTCTCATGTTTCATTAAAGTTCAATCTAACTTTAATCATAACCGTTCTATAATAGAGGTCATCCAAGATGTCTATATACATATGTAAGTTAAGATTATATTGCCAAAATAAAGTGTCACAAAGACTACACAGTTATCTTGTGAAAGTATGGAGCTCTTTTTTCCAATATAAATGAGTAGATGGAGTTGCTTTGCTCCTCTATTCTATAATCAGGTTTTGTTTTAGGTAATTATTCCAACATTCCCCGTTGCCATGTGACAATTCACATTGCTGTAGCCAGTTTCTTTATGATTGGGAAGACGGAAGAACACCAATATATCTCCCAAAGCAGACTCAGTAGTGGAAAACATGTTTATGTACAATTCATCTATGATAACTTAATTCAGTTGACTACAATAACTACAAGGAAGGCCTGATATAGGTAATCTATTTGAATGGCTATGTGATTGTGTAAGGTTATATTACTATAAAGAAAGGTAAAGATTTTGACAAATGCCCATCAGAATCTTCTACAATAACCATTTTAATTGTTTTTCTTGAGGTTTTAGAAGCATTTGTTATTGTTGAGATTTGTTATCTCCTTAAAATTATATTTTTTTAATCCATGATTCTGACTTTTGGGACATTCTTGGTTTTTTAATTTTTCTTTTCTAAATTAGTTTCTCAGAGTTCTGCACTAGGTACAAACATCTCTTTTAGGTAAACAAACAAAAACAAACACTGTCCTCCCATTGTTCATCAATTTGCTCGAGCGGGCCCAGTAATGTCTCCATTTTGAGATTTGTTGTTACTGTGTTTGGCATATTGAATACGTCATGGGTAGCTTGCCAGGCTTTGCCTTGCAGGCAAGATACTCTCGGTAGCTTGCCGGGCTCTCTGAGAGAGGCAGGGAATCAAACCCGGCTAGGCCGGGCTGGTTAATTTTCACCTATACTACACTGTGCCATAGTTAAATTATTTTTCTGCCAAATAGGATAACCTGTGAGCTAAATAAAGACAAGGATACTCCTACTTTATTTATGCCATGTCATTACAGATATACTTCTTAAATGTGTAAGTAGTAAAATAACTATATTACTATAATTTACTAAACTCAATATAATATATATATATATATATAAGAAAAGGGGGAAATACTTTTGTGATTACTCAGGAAATAACCTGGAGAAGATTTTTTCTTCATTTCAGAACATTTTAATAGATTCTTCATCAGGCTTCAAAAAAAACGTAATTAGGAGCTGGAGAGTAGGTAGGGTACTTGCTTTGCATGTGACCAACACGGGTTCAACACCAAGCATCCCATATGGTCCCCCAAGTCTGCTAGGAGAGATCCCTGAGCACAGAGGCAGGAATAAGCCTTGAGCACCACCAGGAATAGCCTCCCTCACATCAAAAACATAATTTAATTTTCTGTATGAACCTTGTCTGGATTCTAACTTTTAAAAGCCAATCGTAAGGAAAGGGGGGGAGGGGGGTGAATCAAACAAACACAGACAGTATAAAGTACATGAAGGAATTAGTTTGAAATTTGCTAATTGTTAGAGTGACTTTGTAGTTATATTCTAAAAATCTACTTAGATACATTATAAAGTTTAATGTATTATAAAGTAAAAGTTATATCATGGATTTGCTACAGAAAACTCCAGATGTATTTGTTACTGACTAAATTTTTACTGACCAAAAAAATTCAAAAAGACACATGGTGGCGCTGCAGGATAAGATGAAAATAGTAATGGGCTGGCACTGAGGGCTTCCTTATTCAGGGGAATAGAGACCATCCACTGAAAGGAAAGAGATAAAAGGAATTTTACCTACAACGCAGCTACGAGGGCTATGTACACTCAAGTGTTTTTCATTTTAAAAAATCAGATTCTGCATTCAAAATTAGAGCTGAACTTTTTTTTCACAAGAGAGGCTGCTTGAAGGAATCATGAAGAGCAGAGAGGCATTCAGTCTGTGGAAAAGGCAAGTCCTAATTCTCTTTGTTTTTCTGAGATTGTCCCGGGTATGTTCTGAATCTGTGCGATATTCTGTGGCAGAGGAAACAGAAGTTGGCTTTCGTGTGGCCAATCTGATAAATGATCTGGGGTTAGGGGTAGAGGAGCTGTCTTCAAGGGAGGCCCGGGTGGTATCTGATGATAATAAAAAGCATTTGCATCTTGATTTGCTGACTGGAGATTTGTTTTTAAATGAGAAACTGGACAGAGAAGAACTGTGTGGCTCCATAGAGCCTTGTATGTTGCATTTTCAGGTAGTGTTGGAAAACCCTTTACAGTTTTTCCAGGCTGAGCTGCATGTGAGAGATATAAATGATCATTCCCCTATATTCCTGGACAAGGAAATACTTTTGAAAATATCAGAAAGCACCACTATAGGAACCACATTCTTAATGGAGAGTGCTCAAGATTTGGATATAGGAAGAAACAGTCTACAAAATTATTCAGTTAGCCCCAATTCTCATTTTCAAATAAAAACTCAAGACACTGGTGATGGAAAAATTTACCCAGAACTAGTCCTGAACAAAGAATTAGATCATGAGGAACAACCTGAGCTCAGATTAACACTCACAGCACTGGACGGTGGCTCCCCACCCAAATCTGGGACAACATTGATTCTCATTAAGGTCTTGGATATAAATGATAATGTTCCAGCATTTCCGTTGACACTCTATAAGGTGGAGGTTCAGGAGGACACATCAGTTGGTTCCTGGATTATCACCATCTCTGCTAAGGATTTGGATACAGGAATTTATGGGAAAATATCTTACACATTTTTGCATGCATCAGAAGATATTCGTAAAACGTTTAAAATTGATAGTGTATCTGGGGAAATTCATTTGATATCACACTTGGATTTTGAAGAAATACAGCTCTATGCCATAAATGTTCAGGCAACAGATGGTGGAGGACTTTCAGAAGAATGCACTCTTATGGTTAAAGTGATAGATATAAATGACAACCCACCAGAAATTACCATAACATCAATAACAAAGACAATTCCTGAGAACTCCTCTGAGAATCTTGTGGCTCTGTTTAGTGTTCGAGACAAAGACGCTGGTGAAAATGGGAGGACTATTTGCTCTATTCAAGATGACATCCCCTTTTATCTGAAACCTACCTTCAAGAATTTTTTCACTCTAGTTTCCGAAAAAGAACTGGACCGAGAGAGCCAGGCAGAGTACAACATCACCATCACGGTGACAGACATGGGCACCCCAAGGCTGCAAACACAGCACACCATCAGAGTGCTGGTGTCCGACATGAACGACAATGCCCCAACCTTCAGCCAGCCCTCCTACACCCTGCTAGTGGGTGAAAACAACAGCCCTGCACTGCACATAGGCAGCGTGAGCGCCACTGACCCCGACGCAGGTAGCAACGCCCAGGTGATCTACTCGCTGCTGCCTTCCCAAGACCCGCAGCTGCCACTCGCCTCGCTGGTGTCCATCAACGCCGACAATGGGCAGCTGTTCGCGCTGCGCTCGCTAGACTTCGAGGCCGTGCGCACCTTCGAGTTCGGCGTGGGCGCGTGGGACCGCGGCTCGCCCGCGCTCAGCAGCCAGGCGCGGGTGCGCGTGCTGGTGCTGGACCGCAATGACAACGCGCCCTTCGTGCTGTACCCGCTGCAGAACGCCTCGGCGCCTTGCAGCGAGCTGGTGCCCAGGGCGGCAGAGGCGGGCTACCTGGTGACCAAAGTGGTGGCGGTGGACGGCGACTCGGGCCAGAACGCCTGGCTGTCGTTCCAGCTGCTCAAGGCCACGGAGCCCGGGCTCTTCAGCGTGTGGGCGCACAATGGCGAGGTGCGCACTGCGCGGCCGCTCAGCGAGCGCGACGCGCCCAAGCACAGGCTGCTGGTGCTGGTCAGGGACAATGGCGAGCCGCCGCTGTCGGCCAGCGTCACGCTGCACGTGCTGCTGGTGGACGGCTTCTCGCAGCCCTTCCTGCCGCTGCCCGACGCGTCGCTAGACGCGCCTCCCGACGACCGCCTCACAGTGTACCTGGTGGTGGCCTTGGCCTGCGTGTCGTCGCTCTTCCTCTTCTCCGTGCTGGCCTTCGTGACCGTGTGCCTGTGCCAGCGGGCCAGCCCGCCCGCGGGGGGCTCCTATCCGCTGCCCGACGCGCACTTCCCAGGACACCTGCTGGACGTCAGTGGTGCTGGGACCCTGTTGCACAGCTACCAGTATGAGGTGTGTCTGGCCGAGGGCGCTGGCGCTAATGAGTTCAAGTTTCTGAAACCACTTATCCCCAATCTTCCATTTCAGGACACTGGTAGTGATGTAGAGGAGACCATAAACTTTCAGAATAGTTTTGGAGTTAACATTCAATAAGTTAACCATTCAATTTTTATTAACTTTCAGTTCTAGTATTACTGTTTGCTAGGTGTGGGTAATTTTACCTATTCTATATTGGATTTTGGATTGTACTATAATAGCATGCATTATGTTTCCTATTTTTCCAAGTTGCTTTAGACTGTCAATGACGATAATGAAATTTAAATGTTTCCTGACATTCATTTATTTGTCAAGGGCACAGTTCAAGTGGTAGAGTGCCTGCTTCATGGGTTGAAAGCCCTGTGTTTGTTCACTTGCATTGCTTACTCCACCCAAGCATTATGGGTTGATATGTGTGTATATATATTTTATTAAATACTTGCTAATTTTTGTTCCTATAATGTAATTACTGTTATGAATACAATGTTATTGTTATTTGATCAGGTGATATTCAGAGTGGATGCAACAATATATGGAATTACTTTAGATCCTTTATCGAACCGAAGTAAAAAGTTTTAAAGGTTGAATCTCAGTGAAAATTATACAACTTGATCACAAAAATCTTTGGCAATTTTTAGCCTAAAGGTAACAATGCTTTCCTTTTTAATCATTACGAGTAATGATTAAATCATCTAGTAATCATCTAGTAATTAAATCATCTAGTAATCATTACTAGGGAATCTTTCTTAGATTTTATTATAGCATAACAACAATTAACTTTATCATAAAATTATGTACCATGTTAGAAATAGCACTGTAGCACTGTCCCCTCATTGTTCATCGATTTTTTTGAATGGGCACCACTAATGTCTCACAACAAATTGTGAGACTTGTTATTACTGTTTTTGGCATATCGAATACATCACGGGTAGCTTGCCAGGCTTTGCCGTGCGGGCAGAATACTCTCGGTAGCTTGCCGGGCTCTCCGAAAGGGGATGTTAGAAGTAATTGATTTCAAAATAATTTTTACATAATTTTTACTGAAATATCTTTTACTGATGATATTGCAAGAGATGGGTCTATTGTTTTGGAATTTGACATTGTTACTTTGTTTACTATAAATACACTATGCTTAATTATTTAAATTTTGTATTATTTTACTCTGCTTCTTACTAACCCATAGTGTGAACCAAAGTTATCCCTGAGGAAAATAATCAAAGTCATAGAGAAAGCTCAGAGGGCTGGGGTATGTGTTTTGCATGGCAGGAGCCTAGGTTCAATGTTCAGTCTCTGGCACAATATGGTTCCTAGGCATTGAAAGATCTCCTAAGTAATGACAGGAGTATCCCCTGAGCACTGCCAGGCTGACCTCAAAGCAAAGAAAAAGTACAAGATGAGGATCAGAGAGATATTATAGGTGTTACAAGATATTATAAAGCACTTTCTTTGCATGCAGCTGATCCCAGATTGAATCTTGGAACCACAAGTTCTAAACACCACTAGGTGTGGTCCAAACTCCTCACCCAAATACATTAAGAAGTGAAAAATTAAAACTTCTTAATAAATTGATACCAGGATCCAGAGAGATAGTATAGAGGAGAAGGCTCTTCTGTGCATGCAGCCAATACCAGTTCCATCCCTGGCACTTCATATGGTCCCTTAAGTACTGCCAGGAGTGATCCCTGAGCACAAAGCCAGAAGTAAGCCCTGAGCCTCACTAGATGTGACCCAAACCCTCCCTCCAAAGAAAAGAAATAAAATTGAAAGAAATTGATATCAAACTTTTTAAACCAAATGTCTTCATTTCCCTTTACTATTGATCATTAAGAACAAATATAAAACATCCTTAATACATTTGGCCTTTCACAGATGAGGTTTACAGTTTATGATGCATTATTCTATTCTAAATTATGGTGACCCAAACCTATAGGTGCACAACTCAAACGGACAATTATAAAAACTTTAATAGCTAAGATTTAGTTTGGATGGATATAGAATTCTATAATAGTTCTGATAAAATTAAATATTGTAGTTAGATTTCTTAAATAAAATTTTATTTGTAAAATTTTATTAGTAAAATGAAACAAATATAAGGTATTTTTAGAAATCATTTCTATTGGAGGCCAGAGAGTGCAGCAGGTAGGATGCTTGCCTTGCATGCAGCCTACCCAGGTTCGATCCCTGGCATTCCACATGACCCCCTAAGCACTGCCAGGAGTATTTCCTGAGTGCAGAGCCAGTAGTAATCTCTGAGCACTGCGGGCTGTGGCAACAAAACAAATAACAGATAAGGAATATTTTCTATCAGCTTTGCAAAAGTATAACTGTTCATGAAAATTCTACTTAGGTAGCCATTTAAATGATACATTTAAAATAGTTGAGTTTTCCTACTTTCACAAAGATATTTAATAAAAAATATACCCTGGAAAGTCAATGGAAGAATAGGTAAACAGTTCAGAGTAGAAAATAAAATGAAAAGATGAATGAGTAAAGTATCTTTACTCCCACCATTGTCACTGTCACTGTCACTGTCCTCCCATAGTTCAGCGGGCCCAGTAACATTGTAAAACTTGTTATTACTGTTTTCGGCATATTGAATATGTTATGGGTAGCTTTCCAGGCTTTGTCCTGTAGGTGAGATACTCTTTGTAGCTTGCCAGGCTCTCCAAGAGGGGCGGAGGAATCAAAGACGGAGGAATCAAACTCGGGTCAGCTGGATTGGCCCCCACCATTACCCAAGATTAATAGAATTTTTAAATTGTAATTAAACTATTATGTGTATTTCAAATAATTAACTTAAAGGCAATGCAGAAACCCTTATGGTAAAAATAATATCAATAAAGCAATAAATAAAAATATATCTGAATAATCTGAGATACTAGTCTATTGTAGAACAACTTAACACAACAGAAGTGTCTATCCTTTCCCCTCAAAATTTATAAACAATACAATTTCTGTTAATTCCATGTACCAATTTTATGTTAATAAATCTGTTATTATGGTTCAGGAATAGACTTGACCCCAGCTCAAACAAAACCTAGAGTGAGATCCTTTCATATCAGAAAGCTTGGTAATGATAGAAAAGGCATCAAAATTTAAAAAAAATAAAGTGAGGAAAGAAAAGGGGTAGATGTAATGAAAGGGAGATTGATTTATTAGTCAACAATAAGGGAAAATTGACTCACTATATTATAACAAAACTATTATGTCATATAAAAATTCAAATGCATGAACTTAGTCCTAGACTCAGTCACTCGCCCAGCTGCAGTTTCCTTTCCCTTTTACTTTCCAATGAATCTATTTAAAAAATGTTTCTAAGAGATTTGAAATAATTTAATTGAAAAAGTAAAGAAATATAGATTAAAATTCTTATAACATTACAAAGGCTTAATTTTATAAAAGAAAAAAACAACAAACACTTCTAACTCACAACTAGACTACAGCAGGTAAAGGTAAAGGTAAAGGCCCTCCCGTTGATCATCGATTTGCTCGAACAGGCCCAGTAACGTCTCCATTGGAGACTCTTGTTGTTACTGTGTCTGGCATATCGAATACTCTCGGTAGCTTGCCGGGCTCTCCGAGAGGGGCGGAGGAATCGAACTCGGGTCGGCCATGTTGGCTGTGTGCAAGGCAGACGCCCTACCCGCTGTGCTATCGCTCCAGCCAGACTACAGCAGATAAACTAAAAAATAACAGACAAGAAGAAGCTACTTGCTTATTTTTTTTGCTTTTTGGGTCACACCCGGCAATGCACAGGGGTTGCTCCTGGCTCTGCACTCAGGAGTTACTCCTGGCGGTGCTCAGGGAATCATATGGGATGCTGGGAATCGAACCCGGGTCGGCCACATGCAAGGCAAACTTCCTACCCGCTGTGCTATCACTCCAGCCCCGAAGCTACTTGCTTTAAGTCATTCAAATTATTTGCAGGTTAGCAAAAACATCATGAAAGTGAACTAAAAATGTTGAAGAGGCTGAGAAGAAATTACATGGACACAGACCCAACCCCAGTTCTACCCCCAGTACTACATGATCCCAGGCATTGCTGGGTAGAGCCCTGGTAGATACCACTGAGGTGACCCTAGTGGTTCCTAACACCAGAGGATCTGAAAACACATTCTTGAGCTCTAGCATTGAATGGTCTTATCTTGGTTGACTAATAATTGCCACGAGTGTACCAGCGCCCCTGAAAATTGCTTGGGAGCCCATTTTCCCAAAAACTTCTGAACCTTTTCAAAAAGTGAGAATTTTTAAGAATAAAGTAGAAAAATTGTTTAAAAAGAATAAAGTAGAAAATCTGGAAAAAAACTTGAAGTGATGCCTAATCTCATTAGCAGGAAAAATGCATATTGAGATACTATATGCGTTATATCCAGTAACATTAATAAAGTGAGAACATTAAGTGGAACATCAGGAAATCACATGTAAGCTTATTTTTAAAAGTTTGATAATTTTAGTAAAATATATATATAATTTTCAATATATAGTATATCTAGAGACTATAAAACCAAGTCCCCAGAAGAGAACAACGCAGCGTCTCCTGCCTCCGTGCCTAGTTGTCCTCACAGGGCCCCTTGGAGGGGGAGCGGGTTGAGTTTCCCTTTCTGCTCTGAGCAGAGCCCCAGCATCTGAAGACTTCCAGGACCCAGCCATAGCCATGCTGAGACTACTCTCCACACACTAGGATGTGCCTTACACATGAAGGAACTGGCAGAGGAACCCAGGTGTGCAGGACCCGGGGCTGAGATCTCCAAGCCTGCTTGGTCCAGGACTGGGCCTCATCCACCCAGATCCCCCATCTTCCAGTAGCTAGACAGTTACACCTACCAACTTCCGTGTAACCCCATCAATGGCCAAGATCCAGAGACTATAAAACCAAGCTCCTGGATGCTTGGTTTTAAAAGTTTATAAAACTAGTCCTCTTATTGTCTAGTTCTCACTCTCTGAGAACCCAGCAGGCTACTGAGAGTCTCCTACCCACATATGTGCCTGACTGGGAACACCTATAAAGGTGACTAGATGCTGCCCCAAAAGCCTCCATCCCTCTCGGAGAGCCCAGCAAGCTACCGAGAGTATCTCGCCCACAAGACAGAGCCTGGCAAGCTACCTGTGGCATATTCAATATGCCAAAAATAGTAACAATGATATTCCTCATTCTCCTGACCCTGAAAGAGCCCGCAATTTGCCATTGGGCTACACTAGCATGTGAC